TTCCATTCACACCATTAAAACTCCCAACATAATCTTATTGCCACAAAAATTTTAACATCTAACAGTAACGGTTCTTTCTAACACATGCAATGGTGGTTTACAATTGATCCTCACTTTTCTTTTGACACAACAGTCCATCCCCAATTGGTTAAAGCAATGAGAAATTACATATTCTCACTCTCAGTATGTTCCCAAAGGGAAGCCATTGAAATCAAATTTGCAGAAGAAGAGACGTTAAACCCTAACTGACTTCAAAGTAGAGACTAGAGAGAGACGAGAAAATTTCGTTTTCCATTTTTTGGTCAATAGATCACTCTTCAAAAGAGGAAATCGTTTAGATACAAAGTCACAGAGTGGATCAAACATCCCTCGAACGAAGCCAAGAACAAAAGTCGAACCTCTCTAACATTTGAGGCGACAAACTAAGAGCTTTACGGGCCACACAATGAGCCGCTCTATTTCGAACTCTTCCCAAGAACTGAAATTGAGAATTGACCACCCCATCCAAAAGACCCAAAATATCTTGCAGAATCACCCTGATCTTGCTATCATCCACATCCCTAGCCAAGCACTCATCTATAATCAACTTGGCATCACCCTCAAATAAAACACCTTGTAGCTGCCGTTGGAAACAATAGATAAGACAGTCTCTTAACCCCAATGCCTCAAGCACATAAGGATCTGAAATATCATCGTATCGACGAGCAGCAGCTCCAAAGAAAGCACCCAATGGATCGAACAAAACAAAACCAATGGTTCCAAATCCCTGAGTAGAAGTTGCAGCATCAAAGTTTGCTCGCCAACACGGAGCCTGTTGGAAAACCTGCAGATGGGTAGAAGAAGGTGGCACCATCCTATTAGCATAAGGGAGCAACATAGCCTGCTCGTATTCTTGAACTTGACGAGACCATTGAGAAGCCAAAGCAAGGAGATGTAATTGCTTTGATTGGAACACAACCATACACCGATTCTTCCATAATCTCCACAATAAACAAATCACCTGTAAAATGAAGTAATCGGCCTAGGAACCCATAGCTTGGCTGAAGGTATAGCGAATAAATCGCACAAAGGACTTTTTCTCTGCATGTTGCCAAAAAGCCTGCATACCCAGCAACCTCCAAAATTTGCGAGCAACTAAACAATTGAAGAACAAGTGTTCAATCGTTTCTTCCTTTCGACCACAAACCGGGCAAATGGGAATTAAATCCACACCCCGCACCACCAACGCTTCCCTTGTAGGAAGAATTCGATGCAAACCTTGCCTTAAGAAGAAATGTAATTTAGGAGGAATTTTCCTGTTCCAAACCCAGTTCCATAATAAGCGATCCATGAAGAATGCCTGTTGTTTGCAGGAAGAAGGAGAACTCAGCAAATTGGAAGCCAGCAGGTACGTAGATCTAACTTTGAACAAACCCGATGATTCATAATGCCAAACAACCCTATCTGAAATGCGTTGATGAGGCAGAGGAATCCCTTTAATAATTTGAACAGGCTTCATCAAAGTATAGCCGGAGCATGTGAATATTCCAACTCTTCAAATCTGGATCAATAAAAGCAGAAACAAAAGGAGCAGCAAAAGGAGATCCTGACCGAGGGGAAGGAATAGAAGGAGGAGAGGTTGGCAACCAAGGATCGGATAGTGCGCGTATGGAGTATCCATCACCTACTTGCCAACGAAGCCCCTGAGAAAGTAAGTCTCTCCCAAAAAGAACACTGCGCCAACCCCATGAAGGATTGGAACCAAGAGATGCCTCCAAAATAGTGCTCAAGGAGTGAAAGTACCTTCCACGATAGAGACCAAATTCTCTGAAACCCAACCCACCAACTTGTTTGCTCGAGCAAAGAAGCTTCCAAGAACGCCAATGAATCCTCCTATGTTCCTGAATAGCCCCCCACCAGAAGCGAGCCATGTGTGCATTAAGACGTCTAATTAACTTTGAAGGTAATCTGAAGCACGACATGATGTAAATGGGTAATGCTGCAGCAACAAATTTTAAGAGCACCTCTTTAGCTGCAGTAGAGAGTGATCTTTGCTTCCAACCTTGCAGCACAGAAAGTAACTTTTCTTCAACGAAATGAAAAGTTTCCAGCTTTGATCTCCCCCAAAGAGACGGAAGACCTAAGTACCGATCTTGCAGACCAATAGAACCCACTCCCAGATATGCACCAAGATCCTCTTGTTCCGATTGCAACATATTAGGACTACAATAAAATGCAGACTTTTGCAAGTTCACTCTCTGGCCACTTATACTATCAAAGTCCCGCAGTACCTGAAGAAGGAAAGTAGCATCCCTTCTGGAAGCCCGGAGAAACAGAAATGAATCATCGGCAAAAAGCAGATGGGAAACCTGAGGACACCTCGAATTGATAAGAACCCCATGAAGTTCACGACTGGAAATTCTTTTCTAATCATGCCAGTGAAGCCTTCAGAACAAAGAGCAAACAATAGAGTTGAAAGTGGATCACCTTGACGTAATCCACGAGAAGAGGAAAAGTAACCCCGAAGGTTTGCCATTAACCAAAAACAGAGAAATTAGCGGTTGTAATACATTCCTAAACCCAATGGATCCAAGTGGAATAGAAATCCAATTTCCGAAGGATTGCAAACAAGTAGGGCCATTCAATTCGGTCGTAAGCCTTATCCATATCTAATTTGAGAGCCATAAAATTTTCCCTGCCAAGCCGTTTATTCTTGATAAAGTGAACCAATTCATGAGAAATCAAAACATTGTCAACGATATGCCTATCATGAACAAACCCATTATGCTCTGGAGAAATTAAAGATGGAAGAAAAGAACCCAACCTGGTAGCGAGAATCTTTGTAATCACCTTGTACAGAAATTGACAAAGACTAATGGGTCGTAATTGAGAAGCTCTTTCCACAGTGTCAACCTTAGGGATTAAAGTTATCCAGGTGTGATTCATATTCCGCAGAAGCTTACCAGTCCGAAAGATGGAACGAATGGCCTTGATGACACTGTCACCTACAATCGACCAGAACGACTTGAAGAAGCAGCCAATAAACCCATCTGACCCAGACGTACTGAATTCCCCCAAGTGAAAGATAGTATCTTTAATTTCCCCCTCAGTGACCTCTGCTGTTAATACCGAGTTCATTGTAGGTGTAACCAAAGGAGGGAGTGGCAGCTCATTAACTATGGCTTCCACACGAACTGTAAATTCTGATTCAGATGTCATTGTGGTGAAAAGATCCTAATAAAAGGCCACCATGACCTGCTGTTTTCCAAGTTCATCAGTGACCCATTGACCGGTTGAATTAAACAAATTATGGATCCTATTGCGACGTCGACGAGAGCGAGTGACAGTGTGAAAGTAATTAGTGTTCTGATCTCCTTCACGAAGCCAACTAACTCTTGAACGTTGCCGCCAATATAGTTCTTCTGAAGCCCAAGATGCAGACAGTTCCGATTCAATCCTAGTTAACTCCGTCCAATCAACTGGATTAGAATTTCGAACCTGAGCTGATTCTTCGTGCAAGGTACGAATCTGACGAGCAAAATTAGAAGTCCCCTCATTGCGCCATTGGAAAATTCGATGCCAAGCATGCTTCATCCAACTCCATAGTTGAAAACAAGGTGAACCTGTGACATTAGTTTCCCAAACTTCCTTCACTATTTGGATGGCTTCAATATTTTCCTTCCACCGAGCGTCGAACTTGAAAAGAGGCTTGCCAGGGAGCCTCTCAGCCGCCCACTTGAACCATAATGCACGATGGTCACTTCCTTCATCTTAGAGATGTTGCACTGTACAATGAGGCCAGGAATCAATCCAAGTACCTGAAAACAGAAACCGATCCACTTGCTATAAATCACAGATGCATCCGAGTGCCTGTTAGACCAAGTAAATCTGGGACCAATGAAGCCGATATCCATTAGGCCTAAGTCATCCACAAATTTCCTGAAAGGTAAGGATCTATTAGGATCATATGGTCTGCCTCCAATTTTTTCATTCGAATGAAGGAGATCATTAAAATCCCCAAAGACCATGAAAGGCACAACTAGGAGAGAACAGTAACGAGATAAATAAGTAAGCTGATACCTCCGAACAGGGTCATCACATGAAAGATACACAAACACAATCACACAACTTATATTCCCAACACATACACGTAAAGCAATGTAATAATAGTCTTTACAAAGAAACAAAATAGAAACATCATCAGCCCACGCAACTACAAGACCTCCCGACGTACCAACCGGATCAACAATACTACAATCTACATAACCTAATGAACGAATCACACCATCTACATAAGAATGACTATTACAAGTTTCAGATAAACATAAAATACAAGGAGCATAGATACGAACGAGCCCTTCCAAAGCTTGAACTGTCAATGCTGGACCCAAGCCTCGACAGTTCCAAGCCAGTAGAGTCATTCAATACTGTGGGGCCATTTGTTGCTGGCTTCCATCACAGTTCCCATAGATTCATCTTCCTGATCTGCCGAATCCACATGCTGCCTCTTTGCTGGAGGGTCTTCTTCTGTACTAACTGGAGCTGAACTATCAACAAGACCAGCACCTTCCATAGGACGATTGTCCAAAAAACGTTGTGGCTGACCAGCCTCTAAGCATCTCTATTGTCCCACCATTTCATCATGGGATCGCTTGTTATCATCCACAATCAGATCCTCATCAGATATTCGCATATGAAACACTGGAGTAAAGCTTGAGGAGCCTCGATCCCTTACTTCCTCTTCCTCACCAGACTCAGCCTCAGTTACTATGGCCTTGCCTTCACCTTTAACATGTACATTTGTAGAACAACCGGCCAATGGAACACTACTGATTGCACTTTCGAAATACGAACTGGAGGTACAACCATACGACTACGAGTAGCATTTTGGAAAGAAGTAGACCTGCTATGAGGACGGGGAGTAGCACTCAGAACCAATGGACCAGCACCTATCCCCGTCGCAGCTGTACGAACAGTCTGATGCATCCATGGATCAGGATCCACCGGATGCGAAGGCCTTCCCTGCGCAGCTTGACCACGAGGAGCAGCAGCACGGGATCGAGGATTAACCCATGTATATCCGCATCCTCTACCATGTCGAGGAACAGCTAAATGCCCAACCAGAAGCAGGGTATGCTCATTAAGCAGCATGCCATGAGGAGAGGACGGACAGACATTGAAGGATCATAAACTTCTGATCCCAAATTCTCATTCTGGCCAAACAAGCAAGAATGCAGAGGAGCATCAGCATTGATAAAAACCTTCACTTTGATGAAATGATCTGATTGACCTGGATTATCCGAATATAACCGATCTCCCGCCTATCAACCCCACCATCTAAGTGATCATCAAAACGTCTCCCTAGATGCAAGGTACAAAGATGGGGAGGAATGGCAGACATATAAGCCTGGTATGGCACATGAGCCATGTCGTGGAACAATTGATCAACAATCGGACTCCACGGATTGATACGCAGAAGAAACTCCATAACAGTCCAGGGAGAACGACGAACCATTCTCTCACGAACACAATCATCCAAGACAATGAATCGCCAAAGCCCTCTATCAGCCTCAAGAACGATAATGGGATGTTCTGTTGTCCCCCAGCTACCATTGGCAATGCGCTCCAGAGCAACACGAGACAGAGGATGAAGAGAGAAGAGCCGACCGACAAGGGTCGGTTGAGCTTGAACTGGACCGAGTTCAGCATCTGCTTCATCAAAGGCAACCACCTGATCAATATCCATGGGCTCCATTGATGCAACCAGATGACGAACGAAACGAGTTGATGTCCAATTAAACAGCCAAATCAAGGCTAAAGTAACCACTGAACACCCGGAAAAGAATAGCAACTGAAACATGCAATTTCCAGAGGGTGGCAGTTGCAGATTTCGGAGAAACAGTTTTCCCCGAACATAAGAGATTTTTAAAGAAAACTGAAAAGAATTGAAACCCTGCGCGGTTGATACCCACGGCTGCTGAGGAAACCACTCCCATTCTGGAGACCGTGGTTCCGAAAGAACAGGCGCCGGAGATTCGGCGGCTACAATGACGACGATTGCGCAATCGAAAGCGAAATCCCAATCGCACAGACAAAGCATTTTTCCACCCATCAATAACCAAATCTGGACCCTTCATTTAAAAAATCCAGATCTAAAGATGGAGAATTAAAGACCATTTTTATTTTTTCTAGCTTTTTTAATCGGCTCATATCTTCTTCGTTTTAACTCGGATTTTAATTTTTTTTTGCACGGGTGAAACGAGTTCATTGTGCTCTACAAAATGAGATACATTTTCAATATTTTTTGAGAAAAAAATTCTTGCCCCTCGGTACCAACTGCATACCATATGGTATTTTCTTCGTTTTAATTCATTTTTGAAAACGTTTGCACAGAAAGTACGAGTTCATCATGATCTATTGGATCTACAAATTTCTGGGTGAACAAATTACATGACCAAAAAATACCACACAGTGACACAATACCACCTTGGTACGGGGTGGTATCTTATGGTATACACTATACAATGTTAAAAGTCGTAAATGACAGTTAATATACTTCTATTATCATGTATTCAACCATCCTACAGTCTTGGTTTGTTCATACCACCATGGTACGCTTTTCAAACCATATGTATGCTCTACAATTGACTCAATTTTTTTTGTTCAAAAAATATATTAAAGTGGATATCATTTTGGTTTGTTCATACCACCATGGTATGCTCTACAAATGACTCAATTTTTTTTGTTCAAAAAATATATTAAAGTGTATATCATTTTGAAGAGTATAATTAATCTGATCAAACTGTGCAAAAAAATTAAATTTCGTCTTAAAACGAGTGAGAAATCGTCTGTCAAAGATTAAGGAGGAGAAAATTAAAGACTTTCAAGGAGTGAGAGGGATGCTGATGTCATGCTAATGTGTACGGGTTATTCATGATTACTCACCATAAGCTTACTGACCAATCCATTCCCCAATCAAACAGTCCAATTTCGTTTTCCGTTGATAAGTTTCTTTCTCCCCTGATGTGAACAGAAACAAACAGTCCAATTTCGTTTTCCGTTGATAAGTTTCTTTCTCCACTGATGTGAACAGAAAACCAAAATGGTGATGAGTTAATGGGCTCAGAACGAAAGCCCACCCAAGAATGGCAGCTCCATGTCTCGGGGGAAAAAAAAAAAAAATTATGCTCGTAGGGTTTGAGGATTTTTGAATCTATCCCCCAACTCCAAGGTTACTTCCAAAGTTCCAGTCCTCCCAGCTCCAGCCAAAACCTCGGTTTGTTTGAATTTGACTTCCCCGTCCAAAACCAAAATACAATGGCCGCCTTCGCCGCCGCCGGAAGATCCTTTTTCCGCTCGTCGTCCTCCGCTCGCAATGCGGCGGCCCGTTTTGCTTCTCAAACCAAGGCCACCCCAAAATCCTCTCCAGCTTCCTCCTTTAGTGCTTCCGCCAACAAGCCTCTCTCTCGACCTGCCTTCAGGTAGGCATTATTTATCCACAACTGCAGATTGGTTCTGTAATTGAATTGTTGCAAGTTTCTTCCTTTTCTTTTTTCCATGTCCTTTGTTTATGATTTCTTTCTGTTTTTGGGTTGGGGACGCAGATTTCCAGTCGAGATGAGCTCTGCTGTGGAATCCATGTTGCCTTACCACACTGCCACTGCTTCAGCACTGATGACCTCGATGCTTTCCATCTCTCAGCGCAGTTATGGTTGGCTTCCCGAAGGTTTAAGCTACTTCTACTGTTTTCAGCTCAACTATATTGGATCGTTGTTTCTCTTGTTTCGGAGGAGTAATTGTTTGCTTAGATTGCTGAAATGCTCTGGAATCGGGTGCTTGAATCGTTGTAGGTTCTCCTTATTTGGTGTTTTGATTTGTATATGTTCATTATATGCATGATTGATTTCAGTATCCCGGGGGTGATTTCCCTGTATGTTCAAACCATTAAGGAGTGATTGCTTGTTCTGTTGTTTGGATAGCATTCTTTGCTGAAAGCCTGAAACTTCGGGTGCATAGATCATAAGGATTGGGGTGTCCTATAATTAGCTTGCTGTTGCTTCTCTGTTTAGTGTGTTTTCCTAGAGAACCGGTCATGCTTGTAGGTTGCCTAACTGGTTGATCTTCTCTTTGCCATAGGTATCTAGCAACGTTTGCCTCCTTCCTTGATGTTCTTTTCTTCCTTTTGGCTTAATGGTAAGTTAGTGCTTGCTGGATTTAGGCCATTTAATAAGCAAATTATATAAATTTACACACCAGAACAGTTGCAGATGTTACTCAATCACACTTCTTATCGGCATTAACCTTTTCCCCCAGATCTAGTGCACCGTTAACTTAGGCCATGCATTTGCGTCCTCTGGTTTCCGTTTCATCTAGTCCTTTTATGTTTTTGTTTGCAATGAAACAGTAAGTAGGAGTTCTAATTGCTGTGCTCAATTTTCCGTCTGAATCAATGTGTACTCTTTTCATGTTGTAGGACGAGTCAAGACTAGATGATCAAGGAGAAGCAAAGATGTAATGACTTGGGTTTAGTAGACTATTGAACTCTTAGAAAGTTAGGCAAAATTGGCATATCAGATGTAAAGTGTCAAACTTTGGGTTTAGTAGACTATTGAACTCTTAGAAAGTTAGGCAAAATTGGCATATCAGATGTTTAGTGATTGAAGTTTTGGAAAAATACATGGCTAATATGTTTTGCTGTAAGAATCTTAAATAAAGCCGATATTGCCGTCTTTAGATTGTGAAATTTTGAGGAGAACTTTTTGTTTCACAGTGTGCATTTTCCCTTTAATAGTCAAATCCATTCAAAGATTGAAGGATCTTGTACATGTGGAAAATAGTCTTTTTGTGGCTTGCTATAATACCGGGTGCAGGTCTTGTGTCAAAAGATGTGTTTTGAAATTAAGATGGCCGATAGTGCTCTGATGATGTGCTTGGGTCTCTCTTGGCTCTTTGGAATCACTCTGCCTCTTGGGGGGCAGTTTCTTGTTCTTCCTTAGCAGTACGATGGGGGTTCAAATTGTCATCCGAATGGTTTGATGTTGTTATAAGACCATCTATCGGATGCCTGATTAGTTGGTAGAGTGACTGATAGTTGTGTCAACTCGTTTACTTGCAGTTATAAATTGTACTTGGGTGTTCTTCATTAAGTACTAGTTTGAAAGGAACCAACCTGACTATTTTCCTTCCCATCAGCTTGCAATGACGATGTGTGATGAATATTCAGAGGATTCAAGCAACTTTAATGCAAATAGACATTTAGAAGTTCTGAGTGAGCCTGGAGGGGCGAGTTGGATTGTGTGAGTTTCCAAACCCAGATAATAAGTTGCTCTCAGTACCCCAAAGATACCACTGACCTTTTTGAGTTTCGCATTTAGAATGTTGATGTGGACAGATGTATTAGTGCTGATGGAATTCATTCTTAATCTTCACCTTTCTGTTCTTTTCTTGCCAAGCATTTTCATTATTCTGTTGCTGGTTTCACACCAATGGACATACTAATTAATCTTTATACATAACCAGTTTGCAATGATGATGTATGATGATGAATGTCAAATGGCTTCAGAAGAAGTTTCGTTGGGGAATCCTTTTCGAGTGTTCACTGAGCGCCCTAGAAATGGCACCAGGGGATTTTATCGGATTGATGTTATTATCTGTGTAGTAGACTAGAAGGCAAACGAACATAACTGTGAGGAGCTAATGCACTACTCTTCTTCGATGTTTTCTTTTATTTAGTAGTACTGAACCCAGGGCCAGGAGAATGGCCATTTTGTCTGTTTTGTTTTCTTGAACATCAGTCTGTCTAGTTAGTGTTTTGCCTGGTGCAAATGAGTCGCCTTCCCGTACCAAAAATATTGACAAGATCGATCCTCAAGTGAGGCAACTGCCATAGGGACATAGCTTGATGGATTTCTAACCCTTTTTGCCATCTGGTCTGGTTATAAGGCTGTAATGAATCTGTGAATCCGGCATGGAGTCCTTCCTGATATTAACATCGTCGTTTGCTTTGGATGATCATCATTTGAGAGCGGATAGTGATCAGGGGAACGATGGATTGGGCAAGTTGAAACTGCCACGACAGCTTTTGCTTCTTTCTAAGGTGTCATTCGTTGGATTTTTTAAATAAAAAAGTCAAGGGAGAATACCACTACAACATCCGAACTATCGAAAAAATGCCACTTGTATCCCGATTTATTCAATATTTCATTTATGTCATGAATTATTTTTCTGTTAAAGTTGACTTGTTTTGACCGTTAATTTTTAACAGAAAGTCCAGTCAACATTTATGTGGCACATGACGTGGAATTTTAATTTATTTAATACAAAAATTAAAATAAAAAACAATGAAAATAAAAATAAAAAACGTTTCATCTCCACCATTCACCCCCTCAACCCTTTCTCCCCCGTTTACCCTTCCTCTCCCATAGATCCGGCAGCAACGAGCCTTTTACGGCACCTGCTTCTACTCCGCTCAACAACGACAACACCACCATTAGCGGAAACTTCTTGCCTCTTCTCGTCCCCAACCAGCTCCTCCCGTGAACAGATTCAAGCAAGGTATGAAGAAAGTGGGAGAGCAATGGATTGGGATGGCGACGATGGCGGAGGCTACCCAGAAACCCAGCTACCCAGAAATATCAGATCCAATGCATTTGCATTTCTATTGGTATGATTGAACGACGATCGATGTTGAAAAATCCTCCCTAGAACCCTCCTATTCTATGCTCTGCAAATTGGGGAAATAAAATTGATAGGGCAAAAGCTCAATGCTTCAATTCCTATCTTGTAGTATCTGGAAATTCGGGTATCGTCTCTCAGGGACGGGTACAACTTTATGTTCTATTGATTTTATGAAGCAAACTATAGGTGGAAATGGATTGAATGGTGAAACTATCATCTAATAGCAAAATAATTAAACAAAACAAGCAAATTAAAATGGTCGGGAGAAATTCAATGGAGAAGGCTCTGGGAGATACACCGGGACTCGCTACCTATCATATTCAAATTAATTCACATATTCCAATCAGTTTAATCCATCTCTACAACCAGGATATCACTACTGTGCTAACTATCACTGTCGGAAATTACTACGTACTAAACAATTAATTCAAATCCTACTGTCGTAGCTCAATGAATTAACTGTTTAGCCTGAAAACCGATATCCCAATCAAGACCGCATAGTATCTTATTTAATCCAGTCGCTTCGATAAGTTACTATGTGACACAAAATATGTTCAGTTTTTAGGGTTTCACTGTCGCTAATTACCTAATTAACTACAAATCATGTATTGGTGGCCAGTCAACACAAAGCATTAAGCAATTCCATGCAATAGAGATTGAAAAAAAAAAAAAGAAATATGAATCAATCCATCAAGTATAGAAATAGTTACATCCTATGATGTTTCCCCCAGAAATTGAGGTTTAGTTCATGACGAAAATAAAACACACAATCATGTTCATAATCATTATTTCACGAATCGAAATAAAAGGAAAAGAATACTGAATTTGTTGAACGTTAATCCGGCTACAATTCCTTCTTGCTCCGATCGCCACTATGCTGCTCCGCGCTCTGTGACTCTCTGCGTTCTTGTTCCAATCTCCAATTCGCCCCCCCTCCTTTCTCTTCCAATATAACTAGCAGAGGGGCCGGTCCGTTGGCCGGCTAGCTGGATTAAATTAGTGATTGTTTTTGGGCCGATCATAGAAGCCCATTAGTCCAATTTGAAACCACAAAGGCTATCTGTTGCATTTCTATTATGTTTAGCCCAAATTGAATTATAATTTTTTTTTCTTTACTGTATTTATTAACCTAAACTTAAATAGACAATAACCAAATTGGGAGGAAAAGTTTCCTCTTCCTTCTTCCCTTTTATGCCTCTGTTCACTCTCCGATGAAACCAGCAAGCAGAGACAAATTCCTTGCATGGATGCCCTCCCCTGCTCCCCTATCTAAATGCCAACTTTTATTCTGATTGTGAGAAGGTGATTTCTGTAAACCCACCTCGCAACTTCTCCCAGTCAACTTCTTTTTCTCCCGATTTGTTAAACCCTTGGCATTGGATAGCTTTTCTGTGCCAGCTCCACAGGTACGTTAGTTTCCATACCTTTAGATACAATGTGGTTCCATTTATTAAAATAAGCGGCATTATATATTCTTATTTATTTAATCTAGACGTAGGATTGAGCAGTACTTCAGGACGCATTTATCAAAGTTGTTTTCTTAGATTTTGATTACGTATTGCCTATGGAATACAACTAAGACACTGGTTGATGAGAAAAGGACCTGCCAAGAAAATTTCGAGTGAGCAGGGCATTAGGTCAAACGAAACAGCATCCTGTTCCATAACAAAAACTCTGACAAATTGACAGAGTCCTCCTTTTACTTCTCTTCTTTTGTACATGTTTAGTTTATTAGTGCCAGTCCAAATTGCAACATCTCAATTATAAAATGCTTCCCTAAACCTTACAATTATTTAAGTAATTAGGAGAATTCAATTGAAAACATATTGTTAGAATTCAACATTGGAAAGGGGATATGTGATGCGGTCTAGAACAACAACTGATATTATTTCTTTGAATGATCCTAAACACGACAGGTTCTTGAAAGAATAGAGATTGATCCGAAGGAAATCAGAAACGTATATTGACCAACATGGACATCATACCTCAATAGAATCCGTAAGTATTGCTATTCTAACCCTATATAATATCATATTCTTGTGTTCTCCTAGATAGTGAATGCAATTGCTAATTGTTTAAATTATAGGTTTTTTACCCTCGGTGATGATTTCGTTGTGAATCTGAATTATCAAAATGCCGTAGCTATGTATGAGATTGTTGAAACCATAGATCTTATCCCAAAGCAATTGGATTGTGACAATCAGGTGACTAAGATAATATATTTGTTATTTATCCTTTTCTGTTCCTTATCTTATTAATTTGTATCTTATTTGTTTACTGTTGCAAAACCCTTCCTTTTCAATTATATCAGGGCACTTCATACATTTTCTCTGGTCGTGTAATAGAGCTGAGGAGGTCTTGGTGTGACGCATCCAGGGTATTTTTGATTCACTTGACCATTGAAGATGATATAACTGATGTTGAGGTCGTTTTTCCATCATCATACTTGCGAAGAATCATTTCTTCTGTAGTCAATCCTTCAGAGATTGACAATGCCTATTATGTTACACTTCTCAACTTGATTGGTGAAAAATCATATGAGGCCATGGTCACAATTGGTCCTTGGAACGACGTGGGGAATTATTTTGATATATTCTTGGTGAAACTGTTCTTCCCATCGGATAACTGAATAGCATGTAGGTATTGTCAATATGATCGGATTAATGTAATTAGTGGTACACTCCTATGTTATGTCTCATATTTTGTAAGCGTACTAAATATGTGAACGCTAAGTTATTTTGTAAGTCTAATATCCGTTTTAGGGGTGGTTGATGTAAAATTTGACAAATATAACTTATTGTTGATATTTAGTTATGATATTTAGCTTATTGTTGAGTTAACCATGTACAAAACAAACATCACTGCTACTATTACTGCTTTCTAATCCCAAATTCCTTCATTTCATTATAGGAGCTAATGAGCAATCAAATTGGCAAATGGAATTTCAGCATTGAAAATGCCATCACTTGACACTTTACAAATCCCTATACTAATAAAACATAGTACCAAAAGGTAAAAAACATCAAAAGACCTAATTTAATAAAGTACCAAATTAGAAACATAGTTTGAAATGTGCAACTACCCAATTTCGAACGTTCACCAAATGGACATTAACTTACTAAATGATATATGGGGAGGAACACTACCCGAACAACTTACTAACCACTAAAAGACACTGATTTGTGACCTCATTAACACGTCCAACTTCAATCATGAAAATGAGAGATCTGTGAGTAATAGATCTCAGGTTGGCTTCAAAAGTAGTAGTCCAATCGATTCTTGGGTTCGGGAAGAGCTGGCTGCCTATTTTCTTAAAGTCGGATGACAGGAACACAACACTGATCTTCATAGCTCCATCTTTCAGTGTCAATTCAACCATGTACTTTTGAAAAGTAGGTGTCCAGAATACATCGACAGCTTCAACTGTTGCCTCAATAACAAATTTTCATTATGAAAAGAGATTGGACTATTATTCAGTGTCATTCCCTGTTGGCTTCTATGGTCGGCCCAAAAACAATCACTAATTTAATCCAGCTAGCCGGCCAACGGGCCAGCCCAAAACGGAGCACTTCATTAAGCGGCCAGGAGAATGAAATGACAATAATGCCCCGCCGTGAAGCTCTCAGAAGCCTCCAATTTTGAATCCCTGCAAAAGTAACCCATGAATCTGCTTCATAAATTACATTTCTTTCCCATAATGGTTTACCTCAAACAGAGATGCAACTATGACTAATAAGAATGAGAAAGAAATTACCAAATAAAGCAATTTAGCGTAAATATAAGTATTCGAAATACAACCATTAAATTGATTATTGCAGATAAATGCATATAAATTTGTGCCCCCTATCGCACTTGCTGATATCATGTTCTTTTATTAGTTTGAGTTCATTTATACATAACAGTATATAAAGGTAAGGTTAATCATTTAAAATCTTCAACTAAAGAAAAACCTTTAACTTTACCATATACACATACCCCGATTAACTCGACAGATAAATACTTTAGAATATAGAAGTCACTTATTTGAGACTATAAACGATCCTTTTACAAATTACAATA